ATTCCGATACTCCTAAAGAGTGTGTGGCAAATAGAAATCTCTCTCAAAAGCAAATATTCTACAAAAACTAAAGACAACCTAAATGTCAATCAAGAGTAGAAGTGATATATAAATCAAGAGTAGAAGTTATATAAGTGATATATAAATGGTGTAGTCATACAATGGAATAATACTCGGCAATAAAAGCAGAATGACCTACTGGATAAAACTTAAATTCATTATGCTGAATGAGAAAAGCAAGAGACAAAAAAGCATGTGCTGTCGGGATCCATTTACATGATGTTCTAGCTGAATCGTTTATTTGAACTAATCTCTAGGGGAAAGAAAATCAATCAGGCTTGCCTGGGAGTATGGAAGCGTGGGGGAGAGATTGACTGGGGAGGGGTACCGGGGGGCTTTCTGAAATGATGGAAGTGTGCTCCATCTTGATTGGGGCGATGGTCACATGGATGTATGTATTTGTCAAAACTCATCAAAATGTACACTTAAAATCTGTACATTTATTGTATATAAATGATACCTTAATGAAGAAAAAGTGTCTTTTATAGCCTTTCTCTGTGAGGCATTTTTCTAAGTGCTTTATATGATTTAACTTACTTAATTCTCACAAAAATATGAGGGAGGAGATGTGTTTGTTTGCACTTTATAGATGGGGAAACTGAGGCACAGAGCAGTTACATAAATATCTAAGGTAATGGAGCTAGTGGCTGTGGCCAGGATTTGGACACTGACAGTTCAGGTCCAGAGATGGACGCTTAGCTGCTGAATCATATTTCATACCTGCCAGCAGTTGCAACCAGCTTGTGGTTTCCTGTTTCCTATGAGAGCTTTTCCAAATATGATAGCAGAACAATTGCTCATACAAGCAGAAAGAATCTGGTTACTTAAGTACACCTATTTATGTTGGGTATTGAGATGCTTTTAATGATTCCATTTAGCTTCAAGGTAGATAACACTACTGAATTGCCAACTGGCCTTGCAGAGATTATCAGGAAGACTAGTTGCTTGAACTTCATTTGCTAATCATTGTTCAGGACAGTTAATGCTGTAAGACAAGCAAAATCATGTGCATGATGTTGCCAAGAAATAGAAGGTGAAAGTAATTCTGGCATTGGGCTTGAAAGAAGATTCATTCACTCCAGTTTGACAGTTATAACTTACTGTATAGTTTATTATATACTGAGAAAAATTAACAGTGATACCAGGGTTCACTGTGGCTAACTATGGGGAATGAGATTGAGGTGGGAGGAAGATTTCCAATTTCTCCATTATACACACTGGCATATCATTTGCAATTTTTATTCTGAGTATGCATTTTTGGATGATATTTTTACAAAGTTTTTAACAGTGATCCAGTTAACTATTCTTGCTTATGTGAAGGTTAGTCATTTTGCAATATTCATTCATTCATTCATCGAATAAACATTTACTGAATGTCTACTAGATGTCAGGCACTAGTACTGGAGATACATAGGAATTAGTAGTCTGTCTAGTGGGTCAGACAGACATATGGGTTAACAATTATGAAATGAGGTAGGTACTCTGCAGTTGAAGGAACTCAGATTAGACCAGGGAATATTGCCCTAATTCTCCTTTTAGCTATAGAAATCTATAGATTTGGTGGCTTTACATGACTTAAAGTGGGTTGGGGGGAGTGTGGAAGGAGATGAGGCATTTCTGAGTGACTTAGGATTCTACTGTCCTCTTATTTTATGAGTGTTACTGGAAGCATGCCCAGTGCATGGAAGATACAGGTCTGATTCTTCATGTAAACATGACTTGTAATACATCAGTTTTTTCCTAATCTTGGTTTCTCATACTAAAGTGATTGGGGAATTCCTTGGCGGTCCAGTGGTTAGGACTCCAGAAGCGGCCAAAAAAAAAGAAAAAAGAAAAGAAAAGAAAAAAGGAAGAAAGAAAGAAAAAATAAAGCGCTTGGTTTTCAGTTGCCAGAGGACTAAATCTCAAGATTGTCATTTGAGTGCTTTTTTCTATTCCATGGCCATAGGCTGTACCCCTTGTATCAGTCACTGTCTTCCTATTTTGCAAAAGGCATAGTGAGTAGAGGAACTGACTTGGTGCAGATCCATCATTTACTTTCTAGAGTCTCTTGAAATAGAAATGCCAAGTAGTCTACTAAAGACCAGAGTAGAAAGAACTCCCTCTACATCCAGCGGCAGTCACATTGCCTTTGTAATAAAAAGGAAAACACATTCATCATCGTAAGCTTGTGATCCAGAAAAAGAATGGACAAGTGTACACTTTTCTTCCTGCTTCTGCTTAAAACAAAGTTGCTTTTATTAAGTAACAGGCTGTAAAAAAGGTAGCTTTTCTTAGGACCATGTGGTTCATTAGCCCCATATGGTGCACATGTACCAAGGATTTCTTTAATCCTGTGCTCCTGCCTGTTTAAAATGTGAATGATCGCCTCTGCTGCCCCTGCTCCAGTACATTCAGAGTAGTTTAATCCTTCCTGGCACAGTGTGTCCTTCAATACCTTCTTTATAAGCATGCCTGATTTTGGAATTGTTCTGTAACTGGAAGTCAGCCTCACTGGGCAGGTGCACATCTTAAGCTCTTCACAATGGCCTACCAGCCTAACTAAACCACAGAAACATGAAAGCAATTAGGGTGGGAGCATTTTCAAAATGATGCATGTTAGTAATCTGTGTAGTTACAGAGACCTTCTCACTCAGACCTAATTGCTTGGATGTTCTATTTTACCAGTGGAAAGAAAAATCAAAGAAAAATGTCCATATTCTATGACTCCAACTATTTTTGGCTGAGACCCTAAGTCTTCTGTAAGGTCAGAGAATTTGTTTATAACTATAGCTTCTGGATTGGAGAGAGAAATGCCATTTCTGACCCCCTCCCCTTTTGCAAGCCAATGGAAAATAACAAGGAGAATAAAAAGCCGGAAAGCAAACTTCCATCTTCATTGAAATTAGGAAACATTCATAACTGGACTCATAACTGTATTTAAAAAAGGGCTTTCAAAAAATGGTTCTGAAGAACATAGGGGCAGGACAGGAATAAAGATGCAGATGTAGAGAATGGACTTGAGGACACAGGGAGGGGGAAGGGTAAGCTGGGATGAAGTGAGAGAGTGGCATGGACATATACACACTACCAAATGTAAAATAGATAGCTAGTGGGAAGCAGCCACATAGCACAGGGAGATCACCTCGGTGCTTTGTGACCACCTAGAGGGGTGGCATAGGGAGGGTGGGGAGGGAGACGCAAGAGGGAGGAGATATGGGGACATATGTATATGTATAGCTGATTCACTTTGTTATAAAGCAGAAGTTAACACACCATTGTACAGCACTTATACTGCAATAAAGATGTTTAAAAAATAAAATAAAATAAAAAAGGGCTTTCAGATTAGTGAAAACTGTGTCAGTGTGAAAGATAGACTCAGAAAGACGGCTAGGGACTTCGGATTTCATGGACAGACAAGACAGTGCAGAATTCTTCAAAGTAGATTTCATAGCCTTGGCTTGAAACAAGGTCAGGGTGCACAGACTGACAGCAACATGCTGTCAGCACTAAGTGACCTCAGGCGACAACCGAGGAAACACACAGACACTCCATCTTTGACATCTTAGAAGACTATGGCTGGGTGAAGGATAAACTGTGAGGAACAAAGAGCCCTCCAGCTTCTATGTCTGCCAAAGAAGAGTGAAGACATCACCGTCCACCAAAACTCTCCATCGACTGGCTTCACTGGGAAAAGGGAAACTTCCAGCCAGCCCAGAGCCACTCACAATGTTCACAGGGGATTGATAAGGTTTCTGGAGGCAACGAGCCTCAAGTGCTCACCAGCTGATTTGCCTGATCCTACCCTTACTATCCTTTCCCATAATATGGCTCAGGAATAATATCTCCCTCCCTCAAACATTAAAAAAGAAACAACAGGGCTTCCCTGGTGGCGCAGTGGTTGGGAGTCCGCCTGCCGATGCAGGGGACGCGGGTTCGTGCCCCGATCCGGAAGGATCCCACGTGCCGCGGAGCGGCTGGGCCCGTGAGCCATGGCCGCTGAGCCTGCGCGTCCGGGGCCTGTGCTCCGCAATGGGAGAGGCCACAGCGGTGAGAGGCCCGCATACCGCAAAAAAACAAAACAAAACAAAAGAAAGAAACAACATTAAAAAAGAAATCAGCATGCAACTTATGTGAACATATATACTTTTTAAATACTTAACATATATACCTTTTAAATACTTAAAAGGAAATATCACACATACTCACAGAAGTAGATGAATAAAACACATCAGAAAATTTATATTGCAAAGCAGATGAAAATTAAGACAACGTATTTCTCTAAGAAGCAGTCTGGCAACATATATTAATACCAAATATACACACACACTTCAATTCATGTAGGAAATCATTCTGTAAAATTTCATTGCCCATTATGTTAATCATGAATATTTGAAATATGGATCTATTTCATATATGGAACTGAGGAACTAAAATTTAAAAACTGATACTAATTTCAGTTATTGGAAAACTTTTAGGTATTATCTGGAACAACCTGGGTATGTAAATTTATTTTTCAGTTGTAAATTTTATGAGATCTAATTACAGATTGTCTTGCCAATGAAAATTTAGCTTCTCAAGATAAGCTCTAAGTATAAAACATACACTAGATTTTTTAAAGATTTAATGCAATTTTATTTCTAAAATAAAGTCTAAATACTGAAAGGGCACAGTAAGTTCCAAGAAAAATATGATACAAATGATCAATAATAAGAAATATCCTAGTATATTGTACTTCGGAGATAAAGAGTCCTTTGGGCATTTAGGTCCCTACTTCATCATCACCACCATCACCACACACACACACACAAACACAAGTCAACTATTTTCACATGGATTTTAAAAAATTACTCTTGTGCATGAACAAGAATGAAAACACAAATAAATTACTCAAGGTATTCCAAAACCTTTTTCACATTTTTTCTTTTTTCACATTTTTTCTGTTGGAGAAGTGGCTGAACTCAAAAAGGAATCCACCCGCAGTTTAGTGTTGGTGGATTCAACAAATTGCAGCAGTGTTTCAAAGAATATAGGCTATGGTTTCCTGCTGGGATGACCTCACCGGGACCGTTGACAACAGTGCTGGTGAAAAGTAGAATAAAACAGTTAGTTGAACCTTAGAAAACAGAAACAGTAGATGAACAGAAGATGACATATTAGAGATTGCATAGGGCGAGAAGCTGATATCCTGCCTCACATTCCAGTTAGGGTGGGTTAAGGACAGAGGCACCAGAGAAGTAGTTTTGACTCTTAAATCCTGTTTGGCCTGAAAGACTCACCTTATTTCCTCTAGAGTAAAAGAATAAAGGATAGAAGCAATCCTTATAAAAACACGTGCACATTAAGAAGGGCAGATGGAGTGGTGATACTGCTTCTGAAGATAGAGACTGTACAGAATGGGGGTGGCTGGCATGGGTCACTGATGGCCCCTCATCCATTGTAGCGTCACCATCATCATGTTGTCAGGGAAGCCTGCATTGCTTGATACCCTTGAAAGGGAGGCAGTACCTAGTAACTACTAGGGCATGGGCTCTATGGGCAGAAAGACCCAAATTTTCTTGGGTCTTTCTATCTTGATCTTGCTTGCACTCATTTTGCTTGGGTAAGTGACGTTGCCTCCCCAAACCCAGATTTTATCTAATGCTTAAAAAAGCAGTAGTGCCTAACTTATACAGCGGCTGCAAGGTTTAAGTGAGCTAATTCATACAAAGCACCTAATACACAGCTGGGGGCATATTAAAATGTTTGAGCAGCGCTGGTTAGTGCTATGGTTTCTAGTCTTAGTTAGTCAAGATGAAAGGTGGTTAGAACTGCCAGACAAGTTCTTATATTAAGAGTTATGAAGTTACAAAAATAAGTGGTTGGGGTCTTTCGGTCTATTTTTATTATTAATGATGGATATAAAGAAGTTATCATCAAGAATACAATACCTGTTCAATAGACTCTGGCAACAAGATACTACATCGGTTGTGTTTCTAACCGAGCTGGAGTTGAAGGCATTCTCCAAAATGTGATGACAGTTGCTGTCCACAGGAGTGCTGGTAAGCATACCTGGAAGTGGAACAGAGTTCTGTTTATTTAATTAATGAAGTCACTGAACTCTCCTTCCATTGTTGGCTTCTCCACCATGCTCCACACTTTTCACTTCACAATCTGCTTAATGGCAGCTGTGCCTCTCAGCTCTCTGCAGAGGCACCGTCCCCCCAAAGCTGCCATCCTCTGAGCACAGGGAGACCAGACACAGAGGATGCAATGCAGTACCTGCGATGCAGGCTGTCATGAAGCAGGCGACGGTCCCCGCAATCAGAGCTCTCACTGCTCCTGCGGCGATGTCATGCTTTCTGGAAGGAGCTATGGATGCTGGGAAATGTGGAAGCAAGCATGGCAGATTAATGTTGAGCCTATTGATTAGAATTCCAAACTCCCAGCCTTTGAGAATTGTTCTGGGGCTGGAGTCTCAGGTCCGTTGACTTTTCTTTTTTTAAACTGAGCTGGAGAATTCAAGATTCAAGAGCTTAGTGATGAGCTCCACGTCCAGAGAAGTTTCTCTGGTGTAGGAGAACTCACAGTATGTTCATGAGGGCATGACAAGGCAAATGGGTTTCAAGGAAGGATTCCAAGTATCTGCAACTCCTCTGTCACCATCTCCTTCTTTGCCCGTGGTGGCATAGAATTAATTAATCACGGCATTTTCCCATTGAATTTCCACTGGCCCTCAGAATCCTTCTCTAGCTGGTCATTATAAATCTATTGGAATTGGCAGACAAAGTGTAATCTATTTGTCATCTTTGAGTGGAGTAACACCTGTACATTTGAGCAGATTTTTCCCGACATTAGCTTGAATAGACATGGGAAAAACTACATTGCAGAGCAGGGATAAAAAATAGACCCAAAAGAATTTATTGCTGTTGCAGGGCTCTTTTTTTCGGACACAAATAATGTTACAGAGCAACATGGAGATTGGAAGAATGTTTATATCATATCTGTTGTTGGAGAATATTCTTTTCACTTACTGAGTCCGCCGATCACTATTCCTAGGGAACCAAAATTGGCAAAGCCACAGAGAGCATAAGTGGCAATTGTCTCAGCACGAATCTAGAAATAAGCATAAACACACAGATGTATACATTATGTGACCCAGCTGAGTATATCTGATATCCTAACTGGGCTTCCTATTCCGACTATGGAATCAATATTGACAAATAAATGTACAGTGTATGGTGTCAAACACCTGTTGCTTCCTGGTCTCTTTTTTCCATCTCCCCTTGAATTTTTTTTTTTTTTTTTTTTGGCTGTGAGGGGTCTTTGTTGCTGCCTGTGGGCTTTCTCTAGTTGTAGCAAGTGGGGGCTACTCTTCGTTGCGGTGCGTGGGCTTCTCATTGCAGTGGCTTCTCTTGTCTTGGAGCATGGGCTCTAGGTGCACGGGCTTCAGTAGTTGCGGCACGCAGGCTCAGTAGTTGTGGTGCACGGGCTTAGTTGCTCTGCGGCATGTGGGATCTTGCTGGACCAGGGATTGAACCCGTGTTCCCTGCATTGGCAGGCAGATTCTTAACCACTGCGCCACCAGGGAAGTCCTCCCCTTGAATTTTCAGGGAGGGAAAGGGGCTGTGTGGATTCAGAGACTCTCCATGAAGTCCTTGGAGTTGGTACTGTTGGCCTCTACAAATGCTATTTTCTGCTCGATGATAACTCCAATATTCAGTATGACCTGACCACTTGCTATATTGTGTCAGGCACAGTACTAGCTGCTGACAATACAAAACTGGTCCCAGAAAATACTCACATTACATTTATTTGACAAAGGACTTATTCAGAATGTATAAAGAACTGTTATAACTCATTAAGAAGACAAGCACCCAATAAAAAACATAAAGAGATTTCACAAAAGATATGCAAATGGCCAAAATAAGCACATGAGAAGATGTTTGACGTCATTAATCACCAGGAAAATGCAAATTAAATTAAAACAATGAGCTCACTACACATCCACTAAAATGGCTAAAAAAGAAGGACAACACCCAGTGTTGGCAAGGATGTTGAGCAATTGGAACTCTTGTACATTGTTGGTGGGAATGTAAACTGACACGGCCTGTTTGTAAAATACAAACATACTTGGCAGTTTCTTATCAAATTAACATAACAGCCTGTATGACCCAGTAACGCCACTCCTAGGAATGTTCCCAGGAGAAATAAAAACATGTGTCTTCAAGAAGACTGTACGTGAATATTTATAACAGCTTTATTCACAATAGCCCCAAGCTGGAAACAACTCAAATGCCATTCAATTGGCGAATGGATAAATAAGGTGTGGATATGCATTAAAAAAGGATACTACTCTGCAGTAGGAAGGAAAAAACTAATACATGCAACAACATGAATCCTAAGTGAGTCCATTTATATGAAATTCTAGAACAAGCAAAAGTGATCTATAGTAAGAGAAAGATCACTGGTTTCCTGGGACTGGGTTGGGGTGGGATGGGGTGTTGTTGACAACTGGCCATGAGGGAAGTTTTCTAGGTGTGGTGGAAATGTGTGGTATCTTGATTGTTTGTGGTCATGGTTACACAGGTGACAGATTTATCAAAACATACGTACACCAAAAATAGGCCTTTTTTGTATGCGAATTATACTTCAGTGAAAAGGAATTACCTTAGTAAAAACGAAGCTCACAGATACCAGAGGGGCTCCTTTCAGCTGACTGTGGTGTGTGCTTGCCTTTCTTTGTTCCTCAGCTCTGACCAGACCATAGGAATGTTAGGTAGTGGGAGAGTGAATAGTCCTTTCACAGGGCAGTAAGAAGATGGCAGGTGAATTCTTGGAAGCGTGAGCATGACCCTCCTTCTCTATTCCAATAGGCAAGAGGTGCTGCTCAGGCCAGACAGTCTTCCTCAGGTTGAGGGGCTGATTATGGGAGGCCTGGAAGATTCAATAGGCTCAGTTGTTCACCAGAGGCACAGCCAATCTGGCAAAGGCACCCACACAACCGAGGCAATAATTTTCTTTTCCAAAATCCTGAGGAAAATCTATGATTTGGTTCAAAGAACAAACCTTTTCTTTTTTCTTTCACTAACTGGATTTTTAAAAGCTCACATTCAAGACTCAAGTGCTCATGGTTAAGTTTTTTTTTTTCATGGTAAGTTTTTTGTTGATTATAAGGCTCCTCTTTTCTTTCATAATTTCTGAGAACTCCTTTGTTGATATTCTCAATCAGTGTGCATATAGTGGGCAGGAAAAAAATATTTCAAGTATTTGAGCAGTCCGCTGTTTCTGGAAAAGCTCATCATCTTTGTCCCCTGCTCTGTCTAGTGCTTTTCATTTAGTTCAGTTGGCTTCAAAAATAGGCAAGCTTGTTAAGAGACCGTGAGGAGGGAGATGGCATAAAGTGCTTGAGATTCCTCTTTCTCCTTCTGGGGATCTGTGGGAAAGGGATACACAGACGTGGCCATGTAGGGTTTTATGATAAGAGGAAAAGGAGGCTGGGATGATTCCACTTTGCCTTTGCCCATAAATGTGCAGGATTATGTGATGGAAAGACAAATACCATATGATATCACTTATATCTAAGTGGAATCTAATCCATCCATAATACATCTTCCAGCTCTCCTTGCACAGGAGCAAAGGTGCCACAAGGACAGTCATTGCAGCATTACTTCTAATAGCAAAAAATTGGTAACTGTGTTCATCAACAAGGGACTGGTTAAAATAAGTTATGATGTGCTCATACTGAGTCACAGGCATTGATATGGCGTGGCATCCAAGATATGTTACCAAGAGCAAAGCGCAACAGTAACAACAGTGAGCATAATGTGGAACAGGGAGAGGAGGTGAATGGCAAAGAAATAGGGAGGATGGCTTCCTTTTCCCTCCACATCTCTTGTACCTTTTGAATTCTGTACCATGGTATGTTTTATGTGTAAACAAACAAACATGCAAAGTATTATATTTAAGAAGGAGAAAATGGTGGAGTGATAAAGAGCTCATTCTGGGGACAACGTGCTACCTACACATTTCTCTTATTCTTTTAATTGAAGTATAGTTGATTTACAACATTGTGTTAGTTTCTGCTGTACAGCAAAGTGATTCAGTTTTATATATATATATTTATATATACATATACACACACACACACACACACACACATATATATATATTCTTTTCCATTATGGTTTATTACAGGGTATTAAATATAGTTCCCTGTGCTGTACAGTAGGACCTTGTTGTTTATCAATTTTATATATAGTGGTTTGTATCTGCTATTTCCAAACTCCTAATTTATCCCTTCCCCCTCCTCCTTTCCCCGTTGGTAACCATAAGTTTGTTTTCCGTCTGTGAGTCTGTTTCTATTTCGTAAATAAGTTCGTCTGTGTCATATTTTAGATTCCACTTAGATATAAGTGATATCATATGGTATTTGTCTTTCTCTTTCTGACTTACTTCACTTAGTATGATAATCTCTAGGTCTACCCATGTCACTGCAAATGGCATCATTTCATTCTTTTTTATGGCTGAGTAGTATTACATTATGTATACCGACCATACCTTCTTTATCCATTCATCTGTCGATGGATATTTAGGTTGCATCCATGTCTTGGCTATTGTAAATAGTGCTGCTATGAACACTGGGGTGCATGTATCTTTTCATATTATAGTTTTGTCCAGATATATGCCCAGGAGTGGGATTGCTGGATCATGTGGAAACTCTATTTTTAGTTTTTTGAGGAACCTCCATACTGTTTTCCATAGTGGCTGCACTAATGTACATTCCCACCAACAGTGTAGGAGGGTTACCCTTTCTACACAGCCTCTCCAGTATTTATTATTTGTAGACTTTTTAATGATGGCCATTCTGACTGGTGTGAGGTGATACCTCATAGTTTTGATTTGCATTTCTCTAATAATTAGTGATGTTGAGCATCTTTCCATGTGCCTGTTGGCCATCTGCACCTACACATTCTGACCGCTTAGATGGAGGTCGTCAGTGGGCATAATGCAATGGATTACACTGGGTTTTTGCCTCATGGACCCAGATCAAATGTTTTAGTCACGTGGTACTTTTTCCAGTAGATGGTGGGACACTCCCACCACTTGTTGGTTGGTAAACAGAAATTGTAGGAACTCATCCCCATTTGGTTGATTGGAAATAACAAATTGGGAAAAACAAAATGTTTTCCCCTTTGTGACTCAACAATAGCAGAAGCCATTGAGCTCATATCTCCAAATATCTTCTGTGGGTCTGCCTCTGGTTGGGCTCACTCCCAACCTAAATCAGCTCTACTGTTCTATTTCTGTCCTCTTAATAACCTGTTGACAAACCTGCTTAGCACAACCAGAACTGAGAGCTTCCTTTTAGCAAAACTACGTTCTCCAGGCAACTGCCAGTTGGGGATGGAAAACATTTCACTTAATTTAGCCTATTCTTTACTTTTGGCAGAGAAGCAAGCTAGTTTGTGGTGGCCTCCAAACAATGAGGACATTTGGCCAAGCTCCATTGCGTGGTCAGTTGAAGAATGAACATTTGAGACGCAGGAGACCTACTGTCCTAGAGCTCTTGTTCATATCAGATGTGTGGGTCAAAATGCTGCTGACCGTAAAATACAAATCAGTACTCTCCTGGAGTTTGCTGTGGTATTCGTGTGACAGGTGGGAGGAAAATTTGCATGTTTGGTGTTTGGGAGGCTGGGTGAGATGGTGGTGGTGGTCAGAGGCAGGCAGTCTCAGTTAGAACCTTGGGCAGCATGCTTTCCCTCCCCGTTCCTTTTAAAGCCAAATACCTGCCCAGGACATTCATTCCAAATGGATTGTTCTAATGAGTCATGGTGGTGGTTGGAAATGTTCACCATTTCCCTAAGAGTTTCCACGTGTGACAATTCTGTTCTGGAAAGTAGAAGTTAGAGACTCAGCTGAAAATATGGCTTAAATAATGGCCTCCTCCAAGTTCCCTCATCCCATTCAAGGCCAAGCAGACATGAGCATCTCCTTGCACGCTATGGACCAGAAATCCTGACATAATTATAGGGTGCTTGTCTGAAAGGCCCTGAGCTTTTTCTCTTCCCTCATTTGCTTGGAGAGTAGTTACTGTGTCTCACTGTTTCTTTCGATATCCAGGTGCTATGCGGCACTTAGGCAGTTTCTCAGAGTTCAAAAAATTTCTTAAATAGGAAGGAAGAGTCCTTCCTGGTCATTAGACTATGAGCCGCATGAGAGCAGAGGCCTTATCACTCATTCAACACCGTGGCCTCCGTACATAGCACAGTGCTCACAGAAGACATTCCATAAATATCTGTTGATTGATTCCAATCCCAGCTCTTATGACTCTGGGTTTGTATTGATAGTGCTCAGAGGTAAATGATCACAGTGGTAAGGATTAGCTGCGTTTCTTTCTGTACACACACACACGCGCACGTGCGTGCGCACAGACACTGTGATTAACTCAACACAACTGACAATTATGAGCCACTATGTACGTTATGATGTCAGAGATTTGGGGCCTGTTTCCTTCTGATGTACCGCAAATGCCTGGCATGGTGCCTGACACACAGAGGCACCAGCAGCTATTTGATGAATGTATGTGTGTGACAAAGAAGTATATTGGGGGGAAAAATTTACTCACCGACATATATTGCTGCACACCATCCACAAATTTGGGTCCACTCTCTTGCCTTAAATGGATCAATTCTGAGAGTTTCTGATAAGCCACAAATTCATTGAAGAATGTCTTATAACCTATGAGTTTGGCAACCATAAAGCTGTCTTGCCAGTCCACTCCCATCATGAAGGAAAAGGGCATGAAGATGTAGGAGCATATTACCTACAAAAACCAAAAATGGATACTTTATTAGAGTAGTGATTTGCTTCTGGTTCTTCGGCCTCACACTCATGACCAGATTGTTCCCGCCCCCTCTGTGTGTCTTTTAGGCACAGAGATCCCTGTGCATTCTCTAGCCTGTCTATATCCATTAGGAGTCAAGGTTGAAATTGGGTCATTTGAAGTAACCTGGATTTTGGGGAATGGGGTCAGGACAGAATGGTTCTGTGTTGGGGTAAGGAGGGTGATAGGAGACAGCAAAAGGGGTGTGGGAAGAGTGGGATTCATGATAAGTTTGTACATTGTATAAGAGTGCACTATACACGTTAGGCAAGGCTGTTCACAAACCTATTTTATTTTTAAACAAAGATTGGCAGAAACAAAAAGGAGGAAAAGCATGATAGAATCATACCTCGAAACTCAGTTGTGGGTAGTCAAACATGTTTCCAAACCAGGACAGGGCTGAATTCACAAAAGACAACAGGGCCAGGAAGGCAATCAGATTCACAGCGATGTTTGCCACCAGGGGAATGGATGAGGATGCTCCCTGTGCTGCGGCTTCTAGGAGATTCTTTGAATCACTTTATCAAAAAATAGCAATTCCAGAATTACCAAGGGATTATCAGTGGATGGACATCACAGGTGTAGAAATGGCATAATCAGAGCTCATTCAAATGGAGAGACAAACTCTCAGACCCATGTCCTGGCTGAAATACCTGAATTCCGTGAAATTATGATGGGATTTATAATTGTTGAGTGTAGGTGATGGGCATATGAGTGTCTAAATGTTATACTACTCTTTTAATTTGGAGGCGTTTATAATAAAAAATTGGGATAAAAATATTACAGGTTTTAACAATGATATTTAATTAAAAGTAGCTTCCAGAGAATATTTATAAAATATTCACAGTAAAAGAACTAGCAATTCAAGGAAGGCCTGTGTATCCACCACCTCGTTTAAGAAATGGAGAGTCACATCAGCTTTGAGCACCCCCTACTTCATCTCATCTTCTTCTCTCTAATATCAGAGGTACTTGGCCCATTGGAATTTGCTTATGATTCCCTTTCTTTTCAATTTTCTTTATCCCTACATAATACATTGTATCAGTTTACATACTTGCTAACTATATAAGTGAAATCCACATATTCCATATATATTCTTTGGCAACTTGCTTTTTCACTCATGGTTATGACTCTCTCTACATACAAACAAGGGATGAATCTCAGAAACATATTGGTTGATGAATTCTGTTACTTAATGACATACTTTTGAATACCCTAAATCCCTTAGTTTTTTCCACCCTCTTCTCTTTCTTTTGAACAGGGCAAAAAGTAAATGAACCTAAGAGGGGTTAGAAATACCTATATCGGGACTTCCCTGGTGGTCCAATGGTTAAGAATCTGCCTTCCAATGCAGGGGACGTGGGTTTGATCTCTGGTCGGGGAACTAAGATCCCACATGCCGTGGGACAACTAAGCTTGCGGGCTCTAGAGCCCACGCATCACAACTAGAGAGACTGTGTGCCACAACTAGAGAGCCTGTGTGCCTCAACTACTGAGCCCACACACCACAACTAGAGAGAAGCTGGCCTGCTGTAATGAAGAGCTCTCACATCGTAACTAAGACTTAATGCAGCCAAATAAAGAAAGAAATATTTTAATAAATATATAAATAAATAAATTTTACTAAAAAGGAATACCGATACCACACTTTTCTTCCCTATTATATAAGAAACTTCCAGAAACAGTGATCCTATGGCTTTCTAACAGTCTTAAATCATGGCCCAATGAACCCTATGCTATATTTAAAATTAAATATCTCTTCACCTAAAACTAATATAATATTGAAAATCAACTATACTTCAATCTAAAAAAGTTAATTAAATGAAATATCTACACTGAACAGTCAAGGAAATGTATTGACATTTAGGTATTGATATTTAGAAAAGATCTCCTTGAGTACTGAAACAAGATACTTTGGGTGAAGTCTACATAGTCATGGGAAATTAAATTCACTGTGTTCTCTGATGATCAAATTCTTGCTGCACTTTGGACTGGAGCAAACCTCCCCTCCCACCAACCTCCTGCTTGTATAGTCAATAACTAATAACTAGGTGAATGTGTCCCACTTACCCATTTTCCATTTTCATGGCATTCTTGAGGGTTATTTTAGGTGTTTCTGTCTCAGGCCAAAAAAGTTTAGAAATAGCCAATGCTGCAGGTGCAGACATAACTGAAGCAGTTAACAAGTGAGAGGACGAAACCTGTGATTTCAGGAGAAAGAAGACCAACTTAGGTTTAGCTTTTCTGTTGTGTTCTGAATGAATGGCTCAAATGCCTTACAAGGCAGGCATTGATTACGTGCCAGAAATCAATGTTTCTTTGGAGGCTTGGAAGAGCCACACGCTGGGTATCACCTTGAGAGGAGGGAGGAAGTTATACCAGTTGACCACATCCTCGGGGAGAAGCACAAAACCACAATCTGAGCATTTCAGAAGAGAATTAATTAATCCAGTGTTGTAGAAATTTTCAAGGAAGATAACTCTACCTCTCTGTTGTTCCTCTGAATGTTCATATAGTCCCTAAAGCTATTTCATTACATCATCAGCTTAGATGGTGGGTATCTGGGGTGCAGGCATGGGTACACCCCTCTCCATTTTCCTTTTGCTTTCCTGATGTCCTTTGTGCCCCTACATAATATGTGTTTATCCAGAGTCCCTTTAATCTGTAAGCGATTTGTTTTCCTCTCTGCAGGTCTACTTAAACTCTTCCCCCTTCCCTTCCCACATCCTTATCTTGTTTCTGGATTCTCTTCCCTGTATTTTCAGAATTATAGAATCTGCACCTGCCTCCCCACTCCCATTCCACACAGCACAGTTTTGTATGTAGAATTCCTACAGCAACCCATCTGGAGAGTCAGTCAAACTGGTATTCCTGAGGTCTCCTTCACCCATTTTTTCTTCCCTCTTCCTACTGATTCGCTCTGTGAGGCTCAGATGAAGTCCTGTAATGAAACTTGCCTATCTTGTAAGAATTCCTCATCACCTGGACCACACAGCTGCTGTGTTATTCCATTTCTCCACCAGGGGTTGTAAATAAACCCTGTGCTCAGGGCATGTGCACCAGTTACCATAACGTTCTGGCGCCATCGCATAGACCCACTGCTTTCAAACTGGGCTATACATTGAAACCTGAGGATTGAAAGGGAACACTGATGCCTGCGTCTCGTCCCAAGAGATTCTGTTGAATTACTCTGGGGGAGGGGCCTGGGCATTAGGGCTTTTAAAAGCTCCCAGGTGATTCTAACGTGAAGTAAGTTTTGAGAATCAGTGCTGTAAGCCAGGAGTCAGAAAATGTTTTCTTTAGAGGGTGAATAGTTTTGGCTTTTAGGGCCACAACTACTCAAGTCTGTATCATATAAGCTGCTTAGATAATGAACAGGATAGCTGGTTTCCAATCAAACTTTAGTTTACTTTAGTTACAAAAGAAGGAAGTGATCTAAATTTGGCCCATGGGCCATAGTTTGCTGACCACTGAACTAGATGGCCTTTAGTGTCAGTAATAGGTTGTTTTTTTTTTGTTTTTTGTTTTTACTTATTCAAATCTTCAGCCAAATTAACCTCATAATATGATTTCATTCTGCTATGGGTGGATATAGTTCACATTTAGGTGGCAGAGATATGAGAGTGAAACACCAAAGCTCCTTGGGGTCACTCCATTCAAATGTCAAAGAAACTGTGACCAACTAGACAGCAAAAAGAACACTCTTTTGCCCTCCTTATCTGGCAGCAATAGTAAAGGAAAAAGCAGAAATGATAATAGCAAACAAAGAAGAGGTTTTATAAATTAATCCCCAAACATTCTTACCCCAAAAGAAATGTATGCGCCTAAGACACTTCCAGCAATAGTAGAGAACCCAGCGGTCATGACTGCGTGGAGTTCGGACTTGGTGACGTACGGTAAATATGGTCGGACCAGCAGTGGAGACTCTGTCTGGAAACAAAAAGTGATCAGATTAAACGTTCCCTTACGAGGACATGCTAATTTACTCAAAATTCCATTCTCTACAGCAGTATTTCTAAGAGTGGACTTCAGATCAACTCTATCAGCTTGACTCAGGAACTTGTTTGACATGCAAATTCTCAAATTTCCTGAATCAGAAACTCTGGGGCTGGATCCAGCAGTGGTGTTTTAACAAGGCTTCCTGGTGGTTCCGATGCGTGCTCATGTTTGAGAACCCACACCATCATTGTCTGGGTCTTTTGGACTCCAGGGCAGTGCGCATACAGAGTCACGTGTGAAGTTTGCAAGGCCAATTCACATAAGGCTCTCACCTAGCCTAGGATTGGACTGTGATGGCTTAGTACTCTTTTCTAAGGTTGGAGCACCATGGGCCAAGTAACTGCCCAGTGGCCTGGCCTTGGGAACTGTGATTCCCAAACCTCTGTGACTTCCTATCTTCCAGCTTCATCTCAACAGACCTTAAACCTCTTTGCTGATACTATAGGGAAACAAGACACAAGTATGAAAAAATACCAGCAATAACATATACCGGTGCCCACAGGCCCATTCCTAATTGAGAATCAGAGACCCCCCTCTTCCCCTTGCATGGAAAGGAATCAATTAGAGTGTAGTTGTAAAGGCTTGAGTCCCATTAAGGAGGGCAGGTGGCCTGCAGCATGGGCTCTCCATAAATAATAGCTGTACTTTTAGCATATTAAGTATCAGATTGAGCACCACAGAAGCATGTGTGCAATTTTACAATTTTCCCCTCATTATTTCTAATTGTGCTATGAGATTGAGTGTGTTGAGCTTCAATTTATGGACCAAATAGAAACTCAGTACATGAGCCCTCTTACCCTGCAGGTAGGAGTAATCAACTCAAGATGGTGCCCTAATTAGTCCTGAGAGATTTTATGACTATAATTATAACAATTTCAACTCCTGGGCAAAGAAGTATGGGCCCCACTCTAAAGACTTTGCTCCAGGCTAGTAAGCTGGGCTTACCAATCAGAAGGCTCAGCCTGCCTGGAGCAGTTGTATAAGTCTACTGATCTGGAACCATGTGTTTTTCTGGGTGACTTGATTTTTGCTTCGAGTTCAATTTCTTTGCACAGCCGTGCTAGCAAGTATTCACACTTGGTTTCCTTGGTGTGTGATTCCATTCTGCCTGAAGCCATATATCCTGAATGTTGAGGATGATTATTACCATTTCTTACTTATCTACCCCTTAGGAATGCTGCCATTTTGAGGGACAGAACTTGGCAACATACTTCTTTGCTTAAATGGACTTCGGGCAAAAGAGCATCTATCGGGACTTCCCTGGTGGCGCAGTGGATAAGACTCCACACTCCCAATGCAGGGGGCCCAGGCTCAATCCTTGGTCAGGGAACTAGATCCCACATGAGTGCTGCAACTAAGAGTTTGCATGCCACAACTAAGGAGCCCATGTGTCACAACTAAGGAGCTGGTGAGCCGCAACTAAGGAGGCCTCCTGCAGCAACTAAGACCCGGTGCAACCAAATAAATAAGTAAATAAATAAATATTTTTTTAAAAAAGAGCATTTATCCACGTGATGGATAAGGAAGGTGAAAATACTTTTGCTCATCAGCATTTTTCTTCAGACTTAGCAAAGAGACTGCTCAGATAAGTTGAGAATGAGCTTAAGTATTTATATGGCTGCACGGTGTTGGTGGAAAGCCTTTTTGGTCTCTTTCGTTGCCACAAGCATTATACTACAGAGTGTGAGGCTGTCTGTTACATGTTTGCAGCTTCAAGATAAATGGTGAACTCCATTTGAGTAGATGAGCTGCTAGCCTCTGATGGGTGGGCCAGAAACCTCAACAATTCAGTTAATTCAGAAAGGACTTATTGAGAATCTATACATGAGAAGCCTTATGCTTTGATAAAATGATTCAATCTTTCTTCCTCTCCATAAATTTTCAAGGACCCAAATTCCACACTAGTGCATTGATACTCTTAGAAGGGCGCGCTCTCTCTCTCTCTCTCTCTTTCTCTCTCCTTGGAATCTGGACATTGTCAATATTGAGGGTTCATTATCTTGACACCCTTCCCCCTACACTAAAAGAAATAACACCGTCATATTTTTTTATTTCTCTTTCTGGAAAGAGTATCCATTTTAGCAAGTGTTTTGTTTTTTGATATTACAACTTACCTGTCCAACAAATATATTGCCAGAAGCAACTACAGATTCAACAGGAGATGTTCCCATAGTCACTAGCATTACCCATCCAACCTAAAAGGCAAAAAAGGATAAAGTCAGTAAAGAGCTATTTGTATACACAGAACTTCAAAGTAGGGATAAAAATCTTTAAACTGGAGGAAAATACTGAGGCCTTCAACAATTGTACTAAACTTGAGTATACCTTATATAGTCCATAGTGCAGTCTGATCAAATCCTATTTGAGTGGTAAGTCTGAGTCATTGTATATACTTTGAACACTATACAATGTCTATTGAAATGTCTATTTCATACAAGTAAAGTTTTTTGAATGTCTATTGCGTACAAGTAATAAGTTGTAATAATTGCTAACAGTCATGGCAGTCTTCACAGCATTCCAGGCACTGTTTTAAGCCATTGTTCTAAGTAATGCATTTAATCCTCACAATAAGCCTTTGAGGGAGGTCCTATAATTAGGCCCATTTTACAGAAGAGGAAACCAAGGCACAGAACAGTTTAGCTGTTCTGTCAAAGTTTGCCTAGCTAATAAGTAATGGGATGTAGTTGAGGTTTGGCCTTTTCTACTTAACTCTCAAACAAACATGGTTGATGGTCCCAATTTGTAGTGGTCCTTCCAACCAGGGACTGTGGTGCCCACCTCAGAATGGGGACTTCCTGTTGCATCCTCTCTCCTTCCTTCCTGCTTCGATGTAGACACAGGAATGCTGAATGTTTAAACTGACAATTAGAAAACTATGCGCCCTGGTGCTCTTGCTGAAACTTTTAATTCTCCTGGTATTCTGGCTCTCTCTCTCTTTTTCTTTTTTAAAATAAATAAATTTTATTTCTTTACAGAGATCAAAAGAGGGCTGTGTCTGTTCCCAAGCCCTGTATACACTGCCTTGCTCTCATGTACATTCAAACTAGCTTACAAATTTCTGAGTTTTGTGATCTAACATAATGTATGACTGACAGCTGCTGGGGCAGCAGAACTGAGGTTAACTTTTCAGACCTAAAAAAAAAAATTTGTGTGCTTACAAAAATCCCTCAGGAGAAAAGATCAGCTTCCCCTTCTTCTTTGATTCTCTAGCAACTCCTAGACCAGGAGGGTCCACTTTCGTTATCACCTGAGGATAAGCAGTGACTGTGTAAGCCTTGGGCAGATGGCCAAGATGAAGGGACAATCAGGTCCCCATCCCTTGGAGTCAATTCTTTGGCTAACGGAATAACTGCTTCATGAAGATGCTCAGTGTGTTGCAAGTCACAGCCCTATTAGAAGTCCTGGAGATAAAATTCCCTTTGTGGACCCATGTAGGATTTTTGGGTTTAAATCTAATAACTTGAGGTGGGTGTGGATCTTGGTACAAAGGGAAAGGTACTTTGGAAAAACCCAGATAAAAGGCATTCAAGAATTTGTCCCTGCGATAATCAGCTCTACACCGGTCACCCACTGCCTTCTAGTCCTGGTACCTTTTTAATGATCCACTCCATCAATCCAAGGTAGTACAACATGGACATCACAGTGCTGAAGAAAACCATGATGGGCAGGACCTGGGGGTGGTGGTGGGGAAGAGTGGTCACGGGTTAACATTGGCCTCAGCAGTATTAGTAGCTTTCAGATCAGTCTCCTTTCTGCCTCCTTTTCCCCCTCTGAAATGTCATCAAAATACTGGAAACTCCTCTTGAACTAAACAACGTTTTTAACAGGCAACTTCCCCATCTACAGTCTCTTACTCTAATTTGTTCTGGATAAGCTTGAGTCTATTTCATAGGAAACTTGACTTAAAAAAAAAAATCCTGCTATGATGAGCTTTTCTTACTTTAGTTTCTAAGAGAAGGAATGACGTTTTGGGGGGAATTTGTAATAATTAGATCAAGAAACTGAAAGCCACTGGCAGATATTCTTGTTCTGATATTAAACAGACATGGGCTTCACTACTTATTAGCAAAGTAACCTGGGTCATGATTAAGTGTGAGCTACCTCAGATCCTTATTCACAGTAGTGACACAGTAGGTGCTTAAACAATGCCTTGTATAAAGCAAGCATTCGTGGATTTAGCTTTTAGAATAATAACTGTTTTACCTATAGATTTTTGAATCACTTTACAAAGATTAAACTCTGGAAACTAGTTTACGTCTGTGTTAACAAAGGTTGTCTTTTTCTAGATCCGATTTTCCTGATGCTCTTTGGATGCCTTCAATGCAGCCTGTGTGTCTACAGGGAACAGTTTCTTCCCTGCATAGACCACACAGAGCTGTGGTCTGGGTCCCTCCCCACCCCTACTCCATTGTTCCCCTTCCCCTCTGTTCCCAGCTAAATGGCCAGGGACAAGCTGCCACCAGAGACACAGAATGGCCAAGGACAATTTGTACAGGATCTAATTTAGAAAAATCTATTAATAATATATATTAAAAGACTTTTTGTGCCATTATTCAGAGCTTGCTCACTTATGTGATTTTATTGGCTTTAATGGGCAGGCAGAGCCTTCCTGAAAGCTTCAGGGAGTTAAAGGGGCTCATCTCCCCAATGTTCCCACAGGAATCTGCTTTGGCAGAAAGGATGGAGACTACTGCCCTGGGGGCAGAGGGTTGGGGGAGGTCTAAAGACACTGGTGCAGTCTGGGCAGCAAGTTCCTCCTTCTCCGTGATATTATTTTTTGTAATTCTGGATTCAATTCATGACAGGAGCATATTTCTATCTCAATTTGTAAACATTTGACCTTTCAGAGATGGCTTAGTTATCTCAGCACCAAAGTATCAAGTCAGCAGTTTAAAAAAAGATTCAGCATAGCAGTTGGCCTAACCGATGCCGAGGTAATTTGGAGGTAAATTTGGAGTCCCCGAGTGAGAAGACAATGGAGAAGTGTAGGAACAATAGCACACCACAAAAAAGAAATCTGAAGGAAAAGCCAAATGCATCTTTCTGACTAATTGACAAGGATTTGCAGGGACTTCCCAGAGGAAGATGGGCTTCCTGGGGATGGGGGAGGCCTGGGAGAGAATCGATTAGGCCTGAGCATGGGGCCAAGTTGCCAAGTTGCCTTTCGCCTGTAAAATAACATCTCTCCTTTGGTTGGGAGGAGGCCCAGCTTGCAGGCCTGCCGAGGTGAAGGCTGTGCTGAAAGAGAGAGGGGAAAGGTGTTAAGCAAGGGGATGGCTCTGGAAGAACAGAGCTTGATGTGAGTGACCAGCTGTCCCAGTTTGTCTGGGATTAAGGAGTTTCCTGACTGCAGGGCTGTCACTGAGCTTGGACTGGGGAGGCATTAGCAGCCATATGTCTATTCATTGCCAGGGACCTAATGTTCTTTTCCCTGAAATCTCAGATACTATTACCCCGTATGATCTTTTTTAAGAAAATTAATTAATTAATTAATTTTTGGCTGCGTTGGGTCCTGTTGCTGTGCGCGGGCTTTCTCTAGTTGCAGGGAGAGGGGGCTACTCTTCGTTGTGGTGTGTGGGCTTCTCATTGCGGTGGCTTCTCTTGTTGCAGAGCACGGGCTCCAGGTGTGTGGGCTTCAGTAGTTGTGGCGCACAGGCTTAGTTGCTCCGCAGCGTGTGGGATCTTCCCGGACAAGGGCTCGAACCCGTGTCCCCTGCATTGGCAGGCGGATTCTTAACCACTGCGCCACCAGGGAAGTCCCCCCTACATGATCTTTCATAACTATCTCAGCAAATGCTACAAGACATCCAAAAGTACAGGCATACCTTGTTTTGTTGTGCTTTGCTTTATTGCACTTCTTGGAGGTTGTGTTTTTTACAAACTGAACGATTTTGGTAAACCTTGGGTGAGCAAGTCTGTAGGCGCCATTTTTCCAACAGCGTTTGCTCACTTTGTGTCTCTGGGTCACATTTCGGTAATTCTCACAATATTTCAAACTTCTTCATTATTATTATATTTGTTATGGTGATCAGTGATCTTTGATGTTACTATTGTAATTGTTTTGGCATTTTTTTTAGCAGTAAAGTATTTTTTAATTAAGGTGTGTACTTTTTTTAGACATACTGCTATTGCACACTTACTAGACTACAGTAGGGTATAAACATAACTTATATGAGCTGGGAAACCAAAAAATTTTTGACTGGCTTTACCGCGGTATTAATTTTATTGCGGTGGTCTGGAACCAAACCGGCAATATCTCTGAGGTATGCCTGTGCTTCAGTATTCCTGACTTCCTCTACATGTTTCCCTGAATGTTACTGTAAAAAAATTAAATGTTTTCAGTCCACTGACTTCAGGTAAAGGAGAAAGCCCAGTGATGGGCTGTGTCCCTATGACATGCCTGGCAGGTATATGCCTGGGTTCTGATCAGTTAGGTTCTATCTGAACATCTACAAAGACTGAGAAGTTACTGAAAAGGGAGTGTCTACATAGAAAAAAAGTGTTTGGCTTTACCTTAAATGCAAAAAAGTGGTCTTCATATTTCTCACCAAAGACAAATGAGGCACCAGCATTAGTGTACTCCAGGAATGTCTGAGTTAAAGAAAGGAAAAGAGCAGATCATTACAAGCACTAAAGAGGTAGTTACCATCCACAGGACCTATGGCTCTGCAGAGGGTGGGGACTCAGAAAACTTGTGGGATAGACTTGGAGAGTTAATTTTGTCAACTTTCCCCCTCCAGTGGATGGCCTGGAAGTATATCTTAGAACTATAACTGCATACAGTTTCCTGGCGTTTCTGCCATTCACTCTGACTCTAGGGTGCTAACGAATAAGCTGGGTGTGGTAACTTGCTCCAGAAGCCACAGATGGTACATGGGAGGTACTGGTTGCCACTAGATGCAAAGAAGCCTATTTCTCTGTTGGGGAAAACATCTTAGAAGAGTGACACCCCTCAGGCAGGATGAAGGGGTCAAATGGGATTGAGGAGTGATGCAGTGGATGGTATGGGTAAGAGACAACCAGAATATTAATAAACTACATGGATTAACATAAACAAAGTTATTTGTCTAATTCATGCTATGGAATTAAAATTTGGGTCAACTAATGCAGACAAATAAAGCTATTTCTGACATGTCTTGAGGGTTATATTCAAATGTTAAAAGCACTATAAAAGCAAGGCATTCTTTTGAACCAAATTTACCTGAACTTGTTTCCCCAGCCAATCAAAAGCCATAAATCCAGGTTCTGTCCTTAGTATCAAAAGCCCAAGAAGAAACTGTAACCCAACACCCCAAAAGACAGGCCTCCAGTAAACCTATACAGAAATAGGAAGAGATATAGGTTATTAGAATATGAATGCTGAACTCAGCATAAATGCCCAGAGGATCACTATTTCCTTGGAAGCTTCTCAGATGTGGCCTGTGATCCACCTTCTTTCGGAGGCCAAAGCAGTTGTGAGCAGAGAATCCCTCCATAGAATCATACCTAAAAATCTCAGGGTTGTGCTCCCTCTTCATAAACTTGAGATTAAGCCTTCAGTCCCAGCAGTGTATGTAACCATTTTGTCAAGATAAAATCACTTAGACACGAAGAGTAGTCTTAGAAGGGCCATTAAAAGAGGAAGAATCTGGCCTTCCCGGTCATGCTGTAAATGTTAGATACATATAATTATTTCCCCATTTGGAAAATGGAAAGGACGAACATGACTTCTCTGTGTGTCCAAGGTTTGTTGATTTGACAATTTGTAAGTGAATTAAGTGAAATTCCACCCTGTTGAGGGGCTCTCATTTCACAGTAAAAGGAACCAATTAACTCTAATGCAGACCCAGGGAGTGCAGTGGTAATGGACAATCAAGTGCTTTCATTTTTGGAGTAGAGATGAGTGGCCTGCAAAGAACTATGGGATTGGAGGCACAGAAAATAGCAGAGATGGTCACCCGCACAGGGCAAAGAATTTGGATTGTATCAGGTGGCTTTGGTTTTGATTAATGCTCTTTTCTTGGATCAGCCTTTCAGCCAGTACAGTCTTCCAGACTTTGCCATTATGAAGCATATGTGAAAGTTTTGATATCTCAGAATTCTTGCCCATTTATTGGGTTGCAGGCTGACAGAACAAGGGTGAGAATGGAATTCTATGTGAACAAAACTGCTTAAGTACAAATTTTTGGAGTAAAATAGCCTCAATGGCAAATACAAATTTGATAACTGCAGAATCCAATGGTAGAATATTAGATTATTTGTTGGTCTGGGGAAATCTGAATAAAAATGGATGAGTTTTCTTTGTATGTGTGTTTGATTGGGGGGAAGGGGGTACATGAGTAGAAATCGGACTTGACAGGAGAGAGTATCTCACTGGTTGAGCAACTGGAAAATTACTGAGAATGAAAATGAGAGAGCAACAGTACTATTAACGTTCAGGAAAAGGGCACCTTAGCCACTGAAATATCATAACAAGGTAAGAAAAATGGTGAATAACAGTTCAACTCTCTCATACTCATTATTTTGAGCAATTTACACATGAGGGAAAAAAAGAGGGAAAAAGACCAAGAAATGATCGATTTCATGCTTACTTTGGTTGGGTGCTTGGAAAATAGAAATGTCAGGGTAATGTACATTATGAGTCCACCGAAGGACACCAGCTGCTGTTGGCCCAGTTTGGCGGTGTCAAAGACCAGCCAGAAAATAACTCCCAGGATCAGGCAGCCCCAAATCACCCTAAGGGAACAAAGAAGGAGGCTTTGGCATCATTTGCTGTGCTAACTTTAAAATCTTAAACAAGCTTCAACTAACAAACAAAAACTATTGAGTAACACACCCTGGCACCAGGAAATTATGCTTCTAGAAATTGCAAGAGACTCTTTTTGGGTGTAGCTATAAAGGCACATAGTCAAAAAATGAAACAATGTGTCCAGAACACTTGGGCCCTTTGGATATGTAAAAGAGTCAGAGAGGAGAAACGATGCTTGGAGAGGAAGTCCGGTGATTTCTTTGCGAGAGCTGCTGGGCGTCTTCATTTTGGGAGATGGGGGAAGCGTTCCCTTCTTCCCTGCAAGGGAGAGCTTGAAATGTGTTCTCTGCATTGGAGACCTCACCTAAGCCTCAGAGAACTAAGTCAGGCTTTAGCCTGGGTTCTGACTCCTTGGGGAATCTAGTGGGCATACGATAGCACTGAATCAGTGGATGGCAGAGCCAGGGAGGGTTGCTCTGTTGGGATTGTACAACCCTGGTTTATTAGGCAAAGAATGTGTGAACTTTCCTGGTAGATTCCATGTGGGCCACACTGGGGAGAATGGGTTCTGGGTCCTACCCTGTAGGGCCACCTGGAAAGAGAGGAGGTCCCACAGAGAGAGAGGCTGAAAGAAAAGCCCTGAATGGTCATTTGCAGGACAGGGGGTCCTATAAGAGAGAGTTGGCTTTACTAATTCACAGACCTTTCCTCCCCAAGAGTTCAGATTCGTGCCCAGAGCAGAAAGCTACCTGTCTAAGTCAGAACCGTCCCAACTTTTGGACAACATTTTATCATTTAGTGGCACTTGAAATTAAGATAGTTTGTAGGGACATTTGAGCACATCTTGCCTTATCTAGGCCTTGATGTCCTGCTTGTAAAATGAAGGCATTTTTTAACAGATTATTCCCTAGGTTGTTTCTAGCTTCAATATCCCATAAATGAGGAAGCAATTTCAGAACAAATCTATGGAACAGTGTTAGAAAAGACTAACATCACTCTCAACCTCAGTAAGAGAACTAAGAGCATTTACCACTTCAGCCAGAACCAGTGGCTGTCCAGAAGCCTTTGGCCAGGAGAGAGGAAATGAGCGATTTGAGAGTCATATTTGGCCATGAAGTGATCCCAGATCACAAAGAAGATGGCAACCACCGTGATCACGAAAAGAGGAAGGGCTCTGTGAAAGTTCAGCACACAGGCCGCAATCACCAGAGCCAGGTAACCTGTTGGAAGCAATGCAGACAGTGAACATCACCAAATCAGCTGGAGACCAGCCTCCAGCATTTACCTGGCTCAGCCAAGGGCAGGTTCAATCAGGAAACCATTGAACGCAGGGGTACTCTTGATATAGCTATAGGTGCCTCTGATTATAAGGACTATATTTTGGGTTTTTAAAAAAAATTTTAAAGTCTCACCAAGAATGCTAGGAGGACAGGGTGCTAGGTCTTTTTTCTCAAAGAACCTTCTGAATTCTTGAATCTTGTTGCCTGATCATTGGGACTCTTGCTTAGTACTACTTTTTCTGATATTCAGACTTAGCAGGTGAGCTTCCATCAGAGAAAGGCCAGGCACTAAAGCAACTACTGGCAAAAAGATATTGAGTCTTCTAGTTTGTAGCCCAGATTTGCCTAAGCTTGAGTAGGAAAATCTCTGAGTGTCACAACGACAATCCCTAAGTGCCACAGCATCTCTAAAGGAAAGAGGTAGGGCGATGACCGAAGTGATGGCTTTTGAAGATGATATTCTAGGGTAAGAACAACACGGTTTTCCATTAAAGGTCAGCAAACAAGTCTTTGTTTCCAAGTTAAGTTTGGCCTACCACTTGTTTTTGTAGGTGGCAAGGACAGTTGTATTTGTATATTTGTATTTTAATTCTACAAATAAAGTCGCCCTGGCACGCAGCCACACCATCTGCTTACTTTGTACTACAATGGCATAGCTGTGTGGTTTTGAGTATGGTCTGCAAAATACTCTCTGAGCTGGTACAAAGAAAGCTTTCAATCCTGCTTACTCCCTGTTCTAGCTGCGTGAGCACCGGGAAACTACGGACCTTCTGGGGCGGCAGCAGTCTTGCATACATGTCTGTGGGCTTGGGTGGGAGGGTTCACATTTTATAGACAGGAATGTTCTTTCAAATGGGCCCTGGAGCCCTTTGTTTGGAGGGAGTCAAAATAGGACACCTGCTCATCTGTGAAGACAGTCTAGTCCTGCTTTCAGGTAAGAGGAGTGGGCTACATGACCCTAGGCTCCTTCTTGTGTTGTGTTCATATAGAGCATTGATTGATTACTTATATCACCCCTTCAATTAGGTTTCTGCCTTGTGATTATCACCATGTTTTCCAGTTACCTGAATTTGCAATATCCACCCCTCAAATCCATACCACAATAACAAAGTGAGAGTAGGTGACCTAAAAAATGAGCTGCTGGCTGCATAAACAGGACAGGGAAGCTATCTACATGGGCTTCTCAAGTTGAGACCCACCACTCAGGGGCATCCTGGTTAAATTCTCTCCTCTCTGGATGATTCAGGGAAGTCAAGGGGAAGGGAAAGATTTATTTGTTTTCTACAGAAAACAAATATTTGAGGGATCCTGAAAAAGAGACATTGGTATTCCATCCCCTTTTGTTATTTACCTGCTATTAAAATGCCCCAGGTCGTGGACTTAAGGATTGTTTGGTGTTCCCTACAAAAATCATAAACTGTACCACACTTCCTTTCCAGGCACCTGTAACAACACAAAAGCAAGAAGGCAGACAGAGGTAAACACCACATACACGACATAACCTGGCATGCTAAAGCTAGATAAGGCTTTGTAAATCAAGCAGGCAAACACATTCATGAAGTATGTGTCCTACAAAATAGAAATAAGAAACTCATTTCATTTTAGACTAAAATCAGCCATGGCTTGCTAACTTTTGCTGAATGGATGTGCCAAAGCCCTGAAGAATTACAGAGATGCAGAAAACATGCTCCTGGAAATAAAGCAGGGGACAGGATAACTAACCAAAAGCTGAGAATAAACCATAGGGCGAGAGTGTTTCTCACTGTGCTAGGAGGGCCTCCATTAGCTTGTAAGCTCTCATGTAAATGTTGACTTAAAAAAGAAAATTCCAATGGGGACTTCCTTGGTGGTGCAGTGGTTAAGAATCCGCCTGCCAATGCAGGGGACACGGGTTTGAGCCCTAGTCCGGGAAAATCCCACATGCTTCGGAGCAACTAAGTCCATGCACCACAACTACTGAGCCTGCGCTCTAGAGCCCGCGAGCCACAACTACTGAGCCCGCATACCACAACTACTGAAGCCCTCGCTCCCAGAGCCCATGCTCCGCAACAAAAGAAGCCACCGCAACGAAGAGTAGCCCCTGCACGCTGCAACTAGAGAAAGCCCATGCGCAGCATTGAAGACCCAACACAGCCCCCCACCCCAAAATCCAATGAACTCTCATCCCTTCTGGTTCTCCCTTCTGGTTCCCTAAGTGTGAGCAAGCTGGAGATTCCCTGTCCTCAGTCACCACCCTGTTTAGCAGGAGGCTGACGGACTTCACAGGATGCTTACATGTAAAGTAGAATTTCGCGGATTTGAGGGCCGTTAACCAATGGGTTGTCATATAGCTTTTTCAGAACGTTCTGGAATTGTTGGTGTATTTGTTTCTGCCCAGAGCTTTGTTACAGGGCAGTGTGTGGTGTGTGAGCCACGTGTGCATCTGATCACTTCTTCTGGGGAGGATGTTGTCCACCAGTGAGGGAGTCTGGAGAGGCCACAGGCCTGTACCCATAGCAACTGTCCTTCCTTCTCCTGGGTGCTCCCGGTTGCCCCCCCAGGCCCTCCACTTACTCTGAAACCTGGCTTCCCTGCACATGTCTCTTTGCTCAATGTGCCTTCATTCTCCCACTTGAGGCCAAATGGAAGGAATTTACTCACACATTTAATCATGACCACTTCCAGGCCACTAGACAGGATTTCTAAAACAACCCCTTCTCCTATATAGAAGATTCTCAATCCCCAGGATCTCAAAGGACTCAGCCCCCGCTGGGAGCTCCCGTCCCCTTGGTGAACACCTCCAGTTCCCTTCCCTCCAGCAGTCATGCCCCTGTGTCCAAATCTCAGCCCCCTTCACGTTTCAGGGCACAGCTCAAGCCCTTTGCTTCTACAAAGCCTTCTTGCATTTCGTCAAACAGAGGCATTCCCCTGCGACTTATTCCTACTGTCTCCTTTGATTGTATTTTGTTATGAAGCCTTAACTGACTGTAACTTCTTGGAGAATAGATGTCTGTGAGCCCAACACCAGCACCATGGGCATTAAGAGTGATTGGCAGGCCTTTGTCGAATTCTTAGCTAAATGAAGTGGTAGTGCGTATTGCTTTTCTGGAACAATAGTTTATAGCTGTGAGTTGGGACCCATTAGTGGGTTGCGAAGTCAGTCACACTGTGCATGATGATCATCCTTAAACAAAAGCATAGGACATCTCAGAGTGCATCATACATAGTGACGACAGGCATTATTTCATGAAAATTTTGTCTTATGTATGTGTGTGAATATGCGTACTGAGAATTAGAAACACTGTTCTAGAACATATTGAGGGAATATAAGTATAGTAAAGACTTAAATTTTTCATGGTCTAATTTAGGAAAGGCTGCTGATGCATTGTCCTCAGCTGTGGATACAGTGTTATAAAGTAGCAGCGTTGGAGGGCAGCATGTAATAGGGCACGTCCATCTACTTTAAGTTGAATTGATCAGATTTTTTAATGGCAAGGAATGTGTATAGTGCAATTTGACACTTCATAAAAGGAAGTACTGTAGCTAGAAATAGTTGCTTTGGCCATTTGGTTATCTAGGCTGAACAACTCCCAATCTCCTGGTGGTTGTTTTCCATCCATTAACACGGATGAAACCTGAGTACCTCTGACCACCCAAGAGAAGCTCTCAGCCCCCAGGATCAGAGATTCATAAAGTAAAACAAAGGATGAAACTAAGTTCAGGTTTCCAAGGTGGCAAATATTCTTGATGATGTATATGTGACAAGAGTTTTTGATCCTAATTCTGGCCGAGTCTATCTTCTGATACATAAAAATAAAGTCCCTCAGAGACTTAGGAATTTATACCAAATTTAAATAGGAATTTAGAAAATTTACAAATACTTTCATGTTATGATAGAGTACCAGACAATCTTGGACTGGGAATCAGAAGCTGAAATTTAAATTAGCTTTGTTCCACTAACCTTGGCTAAGTCACTTCTCTGAGCTTCATTTTTCTGATCCAAAAAATAAAAATAATAATTTGTCTCTCCTGCTAATGGGAGATAAGGACTTGCAACATTATGATATGACAAGGTAAGAGCAAATTTGTTGGGATTTAAAGTGAATTGGATTTTGAGAAATCAATTGCTTATTGATTGAACATTGTGAAGATGAATTAACTACTTTTGTATAGACTGGAGCAATTAGTTGGCAATTCACAGCTTTAATTAGAAGATTGTCCTGGATATTGGGTTCCCAGGACATTAGCAGTTTGAATTTACCACGTTGATTATTCTAGAGCTCCATTACTTTTTCTGAAAATGGTGTTGGGTGGGTAGTAGGGAGGGGAGATTGGTGGTGACCATCTCTGATAAATCATAATTAATGTTAAAAATTAGATGAGAATTTAAAAAGTGTCAAAACCACTGTGTTGAGGAGGTAAGTGTGGTTATTTCTATGGTATAAACCTGTACCCTTTTTGATGCGTCTCTTGGTCATCCTCATCTTCATCATTTCTTGGAGAATCCTGCTCAATGGTCACTTGCTCTTCGCCCTCAAAATCAAACATTGGAACAGAGATGGAATGATGAGAATCCTGAGCACAATGGACTCTGATCTCTTTTGCTCAGAATTTTGGCTAGGAAATTTTCCCAAAAGGTCCTTTTAAATTATTTTGCAAGATGATGGCTCCAATTATCTACGCACAGACATTTTCCCCCTTGTCACAAAAAATCCAGGTTCATACATTTCTCCCTTTACTTCAGAAGGAGCCATTGGTATTTTCTCCATTTCTTCAGGGAGAGGGCTAATAACTCTGCTTTTAGCTCCTGTCTCTACATTCAACTCCCGCTCTGTTTTCAGGCAAGTGCTAAATGAAGTTAATACCAGAGGCTGCACAAATCTTCCTTAATACTCTGCCAGCCCCACTTTCCAAAGGACTGAGACTAAGGCTGGTTTTATTTTCCTGGCAGCCCAAGGCTTGGTCTGCAGATATGAACAGTAGCTCAGCATCTTCAAGAGCTGTTAAACTACCCTTGGGAACTAGGGTTCTTCTGTCAGTTGGGTTAAAGGGAAATATTTCCCTTACTCAGCTAGTACTTGCTCTAACTGACTGAGTGAAGTACATACCTGGGCTATCTTTTATGGACAATCTTTCTAGGTACTGTTTAGCTTTGAAATATCCATGACCCATCCTATTCTTGTGATGGTGGAGAGGATTTCCTGCGTCTCATCATTTTGCAATAATGCCTCAAACTGGTCCAGCTATTGTAAGCAAAGGCAAGGGAAGGCTGGGAGGAAGCTGGTAGATGTGGAGCAGTTTTGAACATGCCCTAAGAGGTATAATGCCAAATCTCAGCTCTAGCTTTTTGTCAGATCCCATGAGACCTTCAATCCTCTTTACTTTAACCCCCCCCACCCCCCCCCCAAGAAAAGAAATTAGCTATTAGCATGTCTCTGAGCTGAAAGGATCCTCAAAGATCATATAGTCCTTTGATACCAAACTCCCATTGTACTCCTGACTTAGGCTGCCTTCCTGTTGTGGGCTGGGCCTCAGGTACAAGGAAGGTGATGGGATGATTGTAATAGAGACCAGCTGAATCCAAGCTGTAGCTACAAAGGTCAGGAGTACAGAGAAGCCTTTCTCATTTTTTCCCACCTAACACCAAGCTTGGCCAATAGTCAAAGTTTGGTAAATTTTTGATTTAAATGATCATAATTATTATTTTCTTAGAGTGAAATTGTCCCAAGTTACCTACTATATGGAATGTCTAGCATTCCTATTGGTTTTTTTTTTTGGTTTTTAACCCTTTCTCATCTTTAAAACAAAACAAAACAACAACAAAACCTTCTTGACCCTACAACCATGGGACATCTACCCTCCCTCCTTCCCTTCACAGCCAAACCACTTGAAAGAATTGCCCTTACTTTTGGTGACATTCCTTCACATCCTGCTCACTTTTCAAGCCACTGTGACCAGACGTCTACGTCTGAGATGGCTTCTGCTAAGGTCACCTGCCAAGGTCACCTAAGGACCATTGTTGCCAAATCTAGTGGCTACTCCTCAGTCTTCATATTTCTGTTTACAATAATACCTAATTTTTTGTTTTTGACTTTTTTTGGTGAAACAACTTAAAAAAAAGACTTTTAAGAGCAGTTTTATTTAGGTTCATAGCAAAATTGAGAGGAAGGTACAGAGATTTCCCATACTTTTCCGCCCGCCCCCAACCCCATGCAGCCTTCCCCATTATTGACTTCCCCACCAGAGTGGTACGTTTGTTACAAATGATGAACCGACAAAGTCTATAGTTTACATTAGGGCTCACTCTTGGTGTCCTATATTCTGTGGGTTTGGACAAGTATTTAATAACATGCATCAGCTGTCATAGTATCATACAGAGTGTTTTCACTGCCCTAAAACTCCTCTATGCCTATCCACCCCTCCCTCCCATCTTGGCAGCCAGTGATCTTTTTACTGTCTCCACAGTTTGCCTTTTCCAAAACATCATCTGGGACCATACAGTATGCAGCCTTTTCAGATTGCTTCTGTGACTTGGTAATACACATGTAATGCTCCCCCATGTCTTTTCATGTCTTGATAGCTCATTTGTTTTCAGTGCTGAATAATATTTCATTGCCTGGATGGGCCACAGTTTATTTATCCATTCGCCTACTGAAGGACATCTTGGTTGCTTCCAGGTTTTGGCAATTATGAATCAAGCTGCTATAAGCACCCATGTGCAGGTTTTTGTGTGAAAAGAAGTATTGTTTTCTCTTTTTTTGGTTGAAGACTACTTAGTGATATGAACACTTCTTACTATATATTAAATGAAATAGGCAATGACCCAATAATATGAAAGCATGATCCTAATATATGTGACATATGCCTATTGATGTATATGTACTTATATTAAAGTGAGCTATATTCTAATATGTTAGGCACTGATTTGTTTGTTTGTTTGCTGGAACTACAGTTCATTAGGTCATTTTTTGTCTTCCAAATTTTGCTGCAATAATATTTCAAATTTTTTACTTCAAATAAGTTATTCTTTTATCATGAGCAAACTCCCCCCAGAATATGCACCCAAAATTACTTTTTTAAGGGTGATATAGATGGGCAATTTGCTCCCTTTTTAGCAGAAGGCTGTCTTCAAATGAGATCCTTACACCTGTAACTTATGTAATATTGTACACCAACTCTACTTCATTAAAATTTTTTAAAATTAAAAATAAAACTATACTCAGTGAAAATATCCATCAAAAGGGAACACATAATAAAGATATTTTCAGGCAAAGAAACAAAAAAATGAGATCCTACCCAGAATTCAATATATAAAAGAAATAAGAGGTGGCATTGTCACAGAGCACCTCGGCTTGCTGTGTACACTTAGATGTTGCTGAGGAAACGTAGGGTGTGATGCACACAGTTTTAGAACCATGTCTTAGAGCCTTACTCTTTTCTGCCTCATTTACTTTAAAATTGAGATGTTATCTGCTGAAGCCAGTGCTTTCTGCCTTGGGATGGAGTTTGGAATCTAATAGTAATAGTGAAGTGTCAGAGCAAGCCTGGGTACTCTCCCCATCAGAGAACTCTGAGCACAGTTGTATAAACACAAAATCTTTGTTTGGGCATGTGTGTTTTCCTCATGACTGCCTTACACACTCAAATTACCATTTAACTCATTCCTCTGAGTGCCAGCTGAGTGCCATGCTTTCTGTCCCCATAGCTGTTGCACAGTAGTTAACGTGGTGATAGATTCACCCACTGCTTTCCAGCCGTACCTGTTTGCCATTTTCTTGCTCTCTGTTTTGCACAACTCTACTCCTTAGGGAGTTGTCATTTCCTGACGTCTTCTGGTTTTCAAAGCAGTCGTCATCATACTAGGAAAAAATACAGATTGCAAAAATAACATTTCAGAACCACAAAACAAATGTTCTTTCAATGAATGATACCCAAAGACTTTTGAGGGACGGGATGGCAAAGATGAGGTGTTTAGATGAGTCAGCTGATTAAAGAAAGAACCAGGGAAGCTTGGCACATAAAGAAACACAGATGATTTTGAAAAATTTTGACAATTTACTGTCTGTAGAAACCACATAAGGAAGAAGAAAATTATCTCAATCTAGAAATGTAAATCCTTTTGTGTTGTTTTTTTGGGCCGCGTGGCTTGTGAGATCTTAGTTCCCTGACCAGGGATTTAACCTGTGCCCCTTGCAACAGCGACACGGAGTCCTAACCACTAGACCACCAGGGAAATCCCTAAATCTTTCTGTTTTCTAATATGATCTTACAGTACATATGGTAGTTGATACCAAAAATAAGTTTTAGTTGAAAATTTGGATCACATATTTCACTTATATTTTTTTCCTTAAAGATATGAATGCTTTAAGTACAAGACTAACAAATGCCTAAATGTTTTGCATTATTTCACTTCTTTGATTAAACATGTTCTTGATCAGTTTTCTGCTTCTGATCTTTCTTTCCTCCAGGTCTGTCTGTATTCCTTCTTCGTTACTCTTCCTCCATAATAAAGTGAGTCTCCTGGCCTGCGGAGTCAGTTGCACACTCCTTGGCATGGTTCAGGGCTGCACGATCCAGCTCATTTATCTCACTCTGCTCCCCTTGCAGGAACCATGAAGGAACACCCAGCCAAACAGAACTACGTGACTTTCTCCAAGCCCGGGCTAAGTTCTCCTGCCCTGAGCTTGCCATATTCTCTCTGCTATCCTGCAAAATTATAAAATATTAGCAGTTCCTTATATGACAAGATTTAAAGATAAAGCATGGTTCAGCCAGTACCGTGATGACCTGAAAAATGCATGTGTTGTACTGAAGGTCATTGTTTATATCTGAAACATGGATGATTTTGGTTTGTGTTGTTATGATAGATAAGATTGGTGTGGTCCAACTTGAGGAAGACAGAAGGGAACAAAGTTGCTGGGTCTAGGCCATGTAACTTTCTAATAAGCAGAGCTGAGATAAGCATGTTGGTTTCCAACATCCTTTCCAACACATCACACAGACTTTCAAATTATAAAACAAAGCAAAATATAGTAAACCATGGGCCGGATCATTGATCATTTTATTCTTAGATGTTGGATCTATGAGATGTTAAAATGTGTTTTGTTCGGTTGAAAGCATTCTCTGGTAGTAATGAGCATAAGAAAAAAAATGGTTTCTTTTGTGAGACCAATTTTATTTTTACTTTTTTTGATTTTACTTTAATAAACTGAGTAGGGTTTGCTCTTGGATGGGTATCCTGACCCCCTACCACTTTTTCCAAATGTGACAAATACCTGGTTCATTTATATTTTACCTATTTTGGGTGGGTCCAATCTTTCTCGCATCTCAGCCCAACTAGACATTTTATATGGTACTTCATTCCAAGTAAGGCAACAGATAGATAAACAGTGTCGGGTAGGTGTCTATATCTTTTCAGGACATATTCCCTGCTAGCCCTGTCGGCTGTGACCATGTCTTTGAAAAAGGAACAAGTGTATGAGTTTGATTTTAAATTTAAATCTCTGGCTGGCCCCACAGATCTAGGGAAAAAAATGCAATTCCAACTTGTATTACGTGTTCCATTTACTGAAACACAAGAGTGTATAAATGTGAATAAAGTCTAACTTCCGGCACACATATGATTTATGCATAAAAGTTTTGTGGCCAAACAGCTTTATTGTGTTACAAGTGCTCATACCTTACTTTAGCCCAGTTCCTTGCACATAGCAGATACTAACGATTGTTTGTTGAATTAGTGAACCAAGGTGACTTTAACGTTGCATTATCTAGTGCAGTGTAGTACCTCTGGATACTTGGTATCAAAATATAGTGGTATGGGGTTTCCCTGGTGGTGCAGTGGTTAAGAATCTGCCTGCCAATGCAGGGGGTACGGGTTCGAGCCCTGGTCCAGGGAAGATCCCACGTGCCACGGAGCAGCTAAGCCCGTGCGCCACAACTACTGAGCCTGCACTCTAGAGCCCGCGAGCCACAACTACTGAAGCCCATGGGCCTAGAGCCCATGCTCCGCAACAAGAGAAGCTACCGCAATGAGAAGCCCATGCATGGAAACGAAGAGTAGCCCCCGCTCGCCGCAACTAGAGAAAGCCCGTGCGCAGCAATGAAGACCCAACGCAGCCAAAAATAAATAAGTAAATAAATAAATTTTAAAAAACCCCAAAAAACAAAATAAAGAGGTATGTGGGGGACAATACATATAGTGTGGAAAGATGACAAAGTGTTGCTAATTGCTGAAGCTGGCTGATGGGCACTTAGGGACTCCCTTTACTATTCCTACTTTCATGGGTGCTGAAAATTTGCTTAATAAAAAGTTAAAAATAAAACCCAGCAAGAGTTGGTGGAAAAACAGGACACAGGTAACAGAGGGGGCTTGGTCCTTTAGGTCCCTAATTACACGTGACCCTGGGCAGGTCATATCTTCCTACCCCTCCGTCCACCCATCTAGACAACATACTTTCGACTTGTTCTCATGGTCCCTTCCAGAATCCTGACATTTTCTGGTTCCAAGAGCTTCAGCTTCTTGGTGCTGATTATTCCTGCCACCTGGTGGCAGAATCTGAGACTTCCTTGTGGAACAAGAGGGTGGAGCTGTCCTTTTTAAAGTTAATGAAAGAGGAAGGGGGGGGAGGGTTGGCGTGGGGGTGGGCATAAGCGGCAACAAGAGCACCTATGGATGTATTTGTAACATTAATGGGATTGTTTTACCTCTGTTAGATTACATGCTTTGGCTTTTCTTTTTTGATTTATTTTATTTATTTTTATTTTTGGCTGCATTGTGTCTTCGTTGCGGTGCGTTGGGTCTTCGTTGTGGTGCGCGGGTTTCTCATTGCGGTGGCTTCTCTTGTTGCGGAGCACGGGCTCTAGGCGCGCGGGCTTCAGTAGTTGCGGCACACGGGCTTCAGTAGTTGTGGCTCGGGGGCTCTAGAGCGCAGGATCAGTAGTTGTGGCACACGGGATTAGTTGCTCTGTGGCATGTGGGATCTTCCTGGACCAGGGCTCGAACCCATGTCCCTTGCATTGGCAGGTGGGTTCTTAACTACTGTGCCACCAGGGAAGCCCCCATGCTTGGGCTTTTTAGTGTTTTCAGAAGAACAATATCTCCCGGCTGAGGATTTCCAATAGAAACAATTGGGGTGTTTGTGGGTGTTAATTGGTGCCTGAAAAATGACCCTTAAAACACCTATATCTCTGCTTCTTTTTAAACTGGGGTCGTGGGAGCTATATAACAGGTGGCCCATAATTACTTCTTAGCTCATTGTTTCTTTCCATCTATTTAGCAATTCAGGTTAATAGATAACTTAGTACACCAGACTCCTATAACCATGACTGTATTCTGAGGGCACGCCTGTCCACCGAATGGGTAACAACATTGTGGGTGTCGTGTATGAGTATTTCTAAGCAATTTACAGCACACCACTTTTAATTTCTCTACTTAGTGTTAGTGGCTGAGTGTCCTAAGGGTATGATCTTGCACTGGGCTCCCTCTGGAGGCAGATCCTTGAGCCAGGAGTACACGGTGCCTGGGTTTTTTTCCCTACCTGTCTTTTTTTAAAAATAAATTTATTTATTTATGTGTTTATTTCTGGCTGTGTTGGGTCTTCGTTGCTGGGTGTGGGCTTTCTCTGGTTGCGGCGAGTGGGGGCTACTCTTCGTTGCGGTGCATGGGCTTCTCATTGTGGTGGCTTCTCTTGTCACGGAACAGGGTCTCTAAGTGCGTGGGTTTCCGTAGTTGTGGGTCGTGGGCTCTAGAGCACGGGCTCAGTTGTTGTGGCGCATGGGCTTAGTTGTTCGGCGGCATGTGGGATCTTCCCGGACCGGGGCTTGAACCCGTGTCCCCTTCACTGGCAGGTGGATTCTTAACCACTGCGCCACCAGGGAAGCCCCCTACCTGTCTTTCTGATCTTGCATTTCCATGCTGTTCGAGCAACTATAGATCTACAGTGGCTGTTCCAGGGGGTACAGGTGGACAGAGGCCTTTTTAATTAATTTCTTCCTTTCATTCAGTTTCTAAACCATATAACTTCTAGAACATAGAAGTTCTGAAAACTGAAATCACCCTCCCCCGCCATCTATTTGTGGAGGGGGTCCCCTTCTACAGAATTTTAGCTGAACACATCGCCACCCAGAATGAAGGCTATGATTCTAGGCTTCCCTTTTAACTAGGTTCTGGCCAATGAAATGTAAATAGAAGTGGAGCCCTGAGTGGGGCAGCTTGGGGTCACTCCTTAAGAGATGGCTGGCAGGTCCTCTTTGTCCCTTCTATCTTCTTGTCTGTCCTGCTGCCTGGTGTGTGGATGGTTCAGGCTGGGACATGAACACCCGGGCCCCATCCTGGTGATGTCAAAATGGTGACCCGGGGGGCGGGGGGTTTGAGCCCCTGAAAACCTTGAGCTGTGCTACCACCTCCTGACTTACCTGCAGGAAACAAACTTCTCCCTTATTACTTTTGGTTTTCGCTTTTATGTGCACCTAAACTTACATAATATTTAGTAGGTACAAGACACATCATGAAACCCTTTGCAATGTTTTGTATCAGTATTTGATCCCGAACTTCCCTGGTCGCGCAGTGGTTAAGAATCCGCCTGCCAATACAGGGGACACAGGTTCGATCCCTGGTCTGGGAAGATCCCACATGCCGTGGAGCAACTAAGCCTGTGCGCCACAACTACTGAGCCCGCCCACCCTAGACTCTGTGTGCTGCAGCTACTGAAGCCCACGTGCTCTAGGGCCCGAGTGCTGCAACTACTGAAGCCCGCGAGCCTAGAGCCCGTGCTCCGCAACAAGAGAAGCCACCGCAATGAGAAGCCCACACACCACAATGAAGAGTAGCCCCTGCTCGCTGCAACTAGAGAAAGCCCGC